CTTAAACTTACTTACTTACTTAGCACTTTCAGAAAGACATCTACTGTGATGAAATCTATTCTCTACTACTGTGTAATCAATTATTGTAAATGTAAATGTTATCAGGAAATGATCAGACAAAAGAGGTTTTCAGGAAAACTGCTCAGTTTCTATGCCACATGTCAGCATAAGATCCAGAGTGTTACTGAAGTGGGTTGGGCCTTTTTACATTTTGAAAGAAACCAATTGAGTCTAATACTGATTAAATCTGTTTCGAGGCTGTCTTTTTTAGTATTTACATGGATGGTAAAATCACCTACAATAATTATTTTATCTGAGCTGAGCACTAAATCAGATAAAAAGTCTGAGAAATCAGTGTAGTGGTAGATTGCAACCACTGTTTGGATTTAAGGAAATAGGATTATTTTCTTTGAATAGCACTGAGGTAAAGTCTAACGTGGAGCAGCTTAAGTATATCAGGGTCTTGTTCACAAGACGAGTTCAGCCATCCAGGAGTCCCTCAGACTACAGCCGATACTCCTCCAGACGAAAGGAACGAGTTGAAATGGTTCGGGCATCTGAGACAGATCCCTCCTGGGCACCTCCTGAGTGAGGTGTTCCAGGCATGAGCTAATAGTAAATAGATAACTATAGTTATATCATCATTTTACAATTCAATTGCCAGAAAGGAGTGCAAAGAAATGAAGAGTGTAGTAAGAGGCTTGGAGTGATATGAAATATTTCACAAAATATATTTGATTTTTCATTCAGTATGACCTGTAATTAAGGCAATGAACACTGCAGCATGTTTACAGAGGTCAAGAAAAAAAAAGTGTTTTTTCAGTTACAGCTATTTACACATGAGTGAAATTATTAGAAACACGAAAATACATGTGTATGAGGGAGGCATGGGGAGAGATGAACATGCAAGGAGTAGATATATTGAAGGCAGATACGTGCGATTAGCCATCCAAAGCAACAGATACTGCACAGGAGAGTTGAAGAAGAGAGTGCAGACAGGATAGAACGGACCAGTGTCAGCGGGGATTTTGTGACAGATGGAGAGCAGCAAGAGTGAAAGGGAAGGTTCACGAGATGGTAAAGAGACCTGCTATGATGTATGGAGATGGTGGTACTGACAAAAAGACAGGAGGCTGAACTGGAGGTGGTGGTGGTGTAGGTGGAGTTGACGACGTTGAGATTTTTATTGAGAGTCACCGGAGTTGACAAAATTAGAAGTGAAATCAGAAAAGCTAGAGAGGCAAGGTTGAAATGATTTGGCCATACAACAGAGGGATGGTTGATATATTGGATGTTGAAAATAGAGTGCCAGGAAGGTGGAAAAGAGGAAGACCTCAGAGGAGATTCATGGATGTAGCGAAAGAGGACATGTAGATGGTTGGTAAAATACATTATGGATAAAGTCACTGCGTTTTTCAATTTAAAACCAGTTTTGTGACAGCAGCTGTGCTGGAAGATTGTTTTTCTGTTTTCTACTTCTGAAATATATCTGGAGAATAACTTTTGTTACATTTTGTTATTAAAGCATTCAGTTAGATTAACAGAGGGAAGACTTCCTACCCTTGCTGGAGGTTATTCTTGTACACTTACTGAGCTTGTCCTCATGGGCTGAAGTTTGTGTCCTGCCATTTGACCTTTGCCCTAATCCAGATGAGGAAGTCTGGTTTTGACTTTGCACTGGAGTGGGTCTCTGGACCAGGTTGCTCTCACTGCCTGCCCTCATCAGCCTCTCTCCAATCCGCAGCATGCACGAGCGATTGAACTGCTGTTCTTTTCTTAAGCTGGGACTTCTAGAACCTGCTGATCCAGGTTGACCAAGATGGGTGGAGGACTTTGGCATCTTTGCTGCTGAGCAGAATATTACTTCTATACTCCAGGGTTCGTCCTTATCTTCTTCCAGAGTTTTGGCTTCTTCAAGTTTTGTCTTCAAAAAGTCATTTATGCTGTTTGAAAAAAAAACTGAAGAAAGCTGTCACAGTCTCCTTCCTGTGTGTCCGTTTTTTTTTTGTTTTTTTTTAGGGATTGAAAATGTTTTGGTTTTGTCAGGTTGTCTCTTTAGTTCATGTTATCCTCCACCTCTGTGGGCTTCTGTTTGTCCAGCTCCACTCCGCTGTTCTTCAATCTTGGATCAGTTTGAGTTTTCTTAATCCCTTTTCAGCTCTTGTTATCTGTGTACTGCAGATCTGTCCCTGTGTTAACAGTAGCAATCATTGTGAAAAGCTGTGGCTGCTCACAGAGTGTGAAGCCATTTTTCTCTATAGTTTCCCCTCTGCTGCTGTCTCTCTGCCAGCACTGTGCTCTGTGTGTGAGCCTCAAGTCCTCGGGCATAGCACACTAGCTCTCTCGCTTTTCCTTTCTCTGTTTTTACTCTCTCTCTCTCTGCCACTTTCTTCTCTGACCTATTCCCACTATGAATTCTGTTGTTTCCCTATTAAAATTTTTCAGCTTTCACTTCCTTCCACTGTCAGGACTCAGCCGTGTTTGCTGAATACTATGCTCTTCTCAAGACACTTTGCTCTTTTCACTTTCTAACAGACTGATGTATGTTGATATCTCAATTCCCACATTAACCAGACATTATTCCTTTTTGTTCATTTCAACACTTTTTCCACTTGCTTCTAACATTGATGAATACAATATCCAACTTCTTATATCCATGTTTCATTACGTCACCTTTTGGAACATTTCTGTAACAAACAGCAATGACACTTAAGTTTATTCAATTCAATTTTATATAGTGCCAAATTAAAATAACAGTTGCCTCATGGCACTTTATATTGTATGGTAAAGACACTACAAAAATACAAAGAAAACAGAGAAAACCCAAACAGTCATATCACCCCCCTGAGCAATAGTGGGAAGGAAAAACTCCCTTATAACAGGAATAAGCATCCTACAGAACCAGTCTCAGGGAGGGGCGCACATCTGTGCGACTGGTTTGGGGTGAGGAGAGAAAGACAGAACAAAGAGATGCTGTAAAAGAGAGACCAAGATTAATAATGACTAATGATTAGAGGCAGAGTGGTATTGGCATGATTATGATAGGACTTAATTGAGCAGTCATGTAGGAATATCTAAAAGGCATGTGGATGGTTTGGAAGAAGTTAGTTAACTCAGAAAGATCAATTACCTTCACCTTCAATACCCTCGATTTCCTCTACGTAACAGAGACCTGGGTGAATATCAGGGAGTCCAGCATCTTTTCTTACCGCCTATCTGTGCTTATTTTAATTCTTCCCGGACTTTAGGCTGAGGCGGAAGAATAGCGACTGTTTTTCTGAATATATACATATAACATCCATATGACATTTCAAATGCTAGAGGACTGTGGGTACCGTGAAAGATGCCAAAATAAAGTATCTGTTAAATATCATTTTGTTAAACTGTTAGACCTTGTGTTTTATTTAATACGGTTGATGTTGTTCTAAATGTTCCTCAGTCTGACGGTATGGAACGTTCCTCTGAAGCATGTGGGAAAAATTTCTTTGTGGAAAAGGTGAATGATGCCAGGGCTCAGATGACACCACCTGCTCTTGACCCTTCAGTCCCTGTTCCTTCCTCTGCTACTTTCTACCAGTTTGAGTCTGTAGTTTTCTCTTTATTGTACAAGTGTAATAGGGGATTAACAAATGTTATTCAAAGGAGGGAAACCCTCCAAAAAATGGACGGAGCAGTGGAGCAGCCAAGGGAATAGAACAGTATAAAAACTGTATCACTAAAATATAATTTATTACACAAAAACCGTTTAAAAGATTAAAAGCAATTAAAACAACCCTGGCCAGGGAGAACACACAATAAAAACCAATAAAACATAAACACACTAAAAGTCCAGTGGTGTCAGCCACGGAATTAAAATCCAGTCAATCGGAGCGGGGCAAGGAAAACCCGGCAGCGTCTTCGGCCGTCCTGTCAATCTCTCCGCTCCGAGGTGCTGTAAAGAGAGGGTCACCGCAGCGTTCTCTGGCCGCAAGCTATTCCAGAGCAGCACAGTTCTCACTGCCTCTCCACGTACTGGCCGTTGTATGTCCTCACCACGTACTGGTAGACCAACCCGCACCAACAACGACGCCGCTGCCTGCCACCATCTACTCCGCCATCTCTGCTACTCCCCTTCTCCTTATATTGGGCCTCTGTGACCTCCCACGTGTGCCAAGTTAGTAATCAGGGAGGGGTGGAGTCTCTCCTGGACAAGTCTACAATAAATACAATAAAAGCATGCAATAAAACAAGAATAAAACACTATACTGTGGCGGACCACCAGGTGGCTCCACTCACACCCAAGTTGAAGGGAAGTGCTGGGGTGGAGATTTTGGCGCTTACTATATGTGAAGTTCTGAGAGTCAGTTAATAAAGTTGGAGTGAGACACTGAGACCTCTCCTGTCGTTATTACATACCTCCACTAGAGATGGACCGATCCGATATTACGTATCGGTATCGGTCCGATACTGACCTAAATTACTGGATCGGATATCGGAGAAAAATAAAAAATGTAATCCGATCCATTAAATATCACGAAAGCACCTCACAAAACTTGCAACACGCTCGTAACTCACCTCAGAACGTTAGCACGTCTGGAGCAGTAGTGCATCACGTGATAGAGCGAGCTGTGGCATGCGGGACCTGTCGGTGGTCTGGATAGCATTTGGAGCTTCGCTAGCAACCTGGCATTTCATCTCCGACAAAGTTATCCCCGAGAGAAGTAAAGCAAGTGTGTAAGTCCATCTCTGAATGTTTGTAAAGCATTCCTGCGTTAAGCTTAACGAGCGACTGCCTCTCGCTCTCCGGCTGCTACTTCAATCATGAAACTGCTTAATGATCAGCTGATCGGCTTTTCTGTCGCGAGTCTCTCTTGTTTGTTTTTGGCCCACTTTGCACCAGAAAGAGGAAACCAGCGGCTGAACAACAGCAGCACGTTTAAGCTTGATCAGCTGTTGTTAGAATTTATTTAATATTACTTTCTACACCAGGATCTTTTTCTACGTAGCTGACGCTGGTAACTGTGCAGGGGCGGATCTAGCAAAGTTTAGCCAGGGGGGCCGATAGGGCATTAACAGGGAAAAGGGGGCACAAAGACATACTTTTCTTTCTTATTCTCATTTAAAATGTCTCGCTTTTAATTATTTAATATTTATCTGAATCTTACACCCAAAGTTTTAATCTGATGTAAAATGTATAGAAGTCCATTACTTGTATATAGTAACTGTTAAGTCTAATATACCCTAGTAAGCTATAGTACTTTTTCCTTTGGGAAGGTACCATCTGTGCAGTCTGCAATTTTGTTGAAGAAAGATGTTGAATCTATTTAATATTTCTTGAAAAATAATTGATTTCTGTGCATTTTTTTTCACACTGCATCAAATTAAGGTTGATTACGTCGATTAAGCATCATGAGGTGGAGCGTGAGGGGTGGTTCCCTATTTTTTATTTATTTATTTTTGTTGTTGCTGGGAGTTGGAACCCTATTAGTTAGGTTGCTTAATATTTATGCTAAGTACTCTTTAAAATACCAGAATAGGGAGGATGGTGTAGGTTTAAGTTTATTAGATTGATCAGTATTGCTGAACTATGAAATTTTTTTTTTGCATACAGGTATAACAGAATAGCTTTAGTGTAGTTGTTGTTTTAAACTTGAGTATGAACTTATACAAAATGCAGCAAGATATTTAAAAAACAGTTTTGTTGATTAAAAAACACTATATCGGATTCATATCGGTATCGGCAGATATCCAAATTTATGATATCGGTATCGGTATCGGACATAAAAAAGTGGTATCGTGCCATCTCTAACCTCCACATTGGTGACCCCTGTAGCGAACATGCTAAGGCTCGACGACGAAGCCAGCTCCGGCCTGGAAGCATCGGCTGCCGCCGGACTTTCACCTCCGCCGATGGCTGCGTTTGCTGTGGCGCTTAAATTGCCGGATTTTTGGCTTCACGATCCTCCTTCATGGTTCGTGCACGTAGAAGCTCAGTTTGCTCTTCGTGGAGTTTCAGCCGACGATACTAAATACCACCATGTGGTGGCCTCACTTGACCCGCTGTCAACCCGCCGCGTGATGACTCTCCTCCGGGACCCCCCAGCCCAAGGCAAGTACGCCGCCCTCAAGGCGCTGCTGCTGCGCTGCTGCTGCTGCTGCTGCTGCTGCTGCTGCTGCTGCGCTGCTGCTGCGCTGCTGCTGCTGCTGCTGCGCTACTGCTGCTGCGCTGCGCTGCTGCTGCTGCGCTGCTGCGGCATTACTCCCTCTCTGATGCTGAGCGGGCCGAGAAACTCCTTTCCCTCGCGGGCCTGGGCGACGGCACCGCTCTCGAGCTCATGGAGAGCATGCTATCCTTGCTGGGCGCGGATGACAGAGGATTTCTCTTCACCCGCCTCTTTCTCCGACAGCTGCCGGCTCCAGTGCGCGCTGGCCTTGCCAACTCCCCGCTATTGGCCACGAAGGATTACCGCTCCCTTGTGGAAGAGGCGGATCGCATCCTCCTGGCTACCAGGAGTTTCAGCGTCCAGGCAATTATTCAGGACTCACCAGCGTTTTCCCCCGCCCCCTCACTGATGCTCCAGGGGCCCTCCGACTCGTCCACGGTGGCCGGAATTGCTGCACGGCGGCACCGCGGCACCGCGGAAAAGGGCTTTGCTTTTATCACCAGCGTTTTGGAGCGAAGGCACGGCGCTGTCTCCCGCCTTGCAGTTTCCAGACCCAGGGAAACGGGCATGTCAGCGCTCTGTAGCAGCCGCGACCGCTGGCAGCAAGGAAAGGCTTCTTTTCTTAGAGGACTCACGCTCGGGGAGGCGTTTCCTGGTGGACTCCGGCTCACAGAAGAGCCTTCTTCCCCCGGCTGGCTCGGACAGGCTAGCTGAGGGCTGCGGGCCATTGCTAACAGCGGCTAATGGCTCTCCCATCAAAACCTTCAGTGAAAGGTTGGTGACTGTTTGCTTTCATGACCGTGACTTTCAGTGGAACTTTGTTGTTGCTGCTAGCTCTGTGCCTATAATAGGCGCTGATTTTCTTTGTGCTCACGGACTGCTGGTTGATGGTGCTAACAGACGTTTAATTGATGTTGTGTCATTTTCCTCATTACCCTGTTTGACTCGAGGTGCTCAGCCCGTGGTGCATGCTAACTCAGTAGATTCGGGTGACGTTTTTCAGTGTTTGCTTTCTGAGTTTCCCTCACTCACTGTCCCCACTTTCTCGAGCACGGTGACGAAGCATGGGGTGGAGCATTACATAACTACAGTAGGGCCCCCGGTGTTCGCGCGCGCGCGCCGCCTCGACCCTGCCAAACTGGCTGTC